AGCGCAACACGCCCTCGCCCGCCACTGCAAATTTCCCTTCCTTACCGCCCGCATCGTCGCGCCTGGTTGGCAGTCGTAGCCGCAAGTCGTCGGCCGCCTCGTCGACGTCGGCGCCCTTCTCGCCTGCAGGACAGCAGCTCCCCACCAGCCAGCTGCTGTCCTCCCGCACCCGCACAATAGCGCCCCAGGCTGTCTCGCAATTGGCTTCCTCCGCCGCCGCCGCAGCAGTAGCAGCCGCTTCACAGGGGGCCGGTGCACAGTCGAGCAGCGGCGGAGGAGCCTCCAAGCTTGTCCGCGCCTCACCCTCCCTCTCTACCTCGAGCACCCTCGGCTCGCCCAGCACCGCTGCCAATCCGCCCGCCGCACCCCCGCAGAATTTGTCGCGTATTGTCATCGCCCAGATCTTCCTGTTGTTGAGCCAGTTCGGCCCGCTCAAGGACGACAAGGACCGCTCCAAGTGGGACACGCAGACCGAGCAGATCAGGAAGGTGCGTGTTTTGCCTTTTTTGCCTCATGCCTCATCCCTCTTTTACCCTTGCCTGCTTATAGACCCGTCTTTTTCCATCTGTCTCTCAGTCTCTCTCTCATGGATGCTGACATGCCCCGCAGCTGGTTGACTCGAACGGCATGGAGGTCTTCTCCAAGTACTTTCGGCGCGTGCTGCAAAACAATGCGCCCACCATCTTTGGGACAGGCTCGCGCAATGCAGACCCCAACGGCAGCTACCAGATCCTCATGTCTGAAATGCAGAAGCTGCGGAAAGAGCCCGACCAAGCCGACAAGATTGCAGAGTCGATTAGCTCGAGTGAAGGCGACCTGTTCCGCGACTTCGACCTCTCCACATTCGTGGCACACTTCAAACTCGACCCTATCGCGAAGACCATGCTTGCGCTTGCTTGTAGAAAGACCGATCTTCGGGCCAAGGGTAGGATAGAATCCCCCACAAAATGCTCGCGTAACCATGTAGGCTAATTCAATGCAGCCGAGGCAGTGCTCGCAACCGTCGGCGAAGACCTCCTCTTGGCTATCGCGCAACCTTTGCCAACCGACGAATTGAGCCCCGAATACATGGCCGTCCTCGTCGAGCGATTGCTCAACGATCCCCCACAGGCCTGGGATGACGACAAGAAGCATGGGGTCGTCTATGCGGTACAGATGCGCTATTCACAAACCCACTCCCAAATACCGGCCGCGGTAGAATCCAAGTTCATACTGGCCGAATGTGCAGATGGATCACGGCATCCCTTGATCAAACTGATCCGGCGAGCAGGCCCACAAGGTACAGCCACGGTGGATGCATGCAAAGATATTCTTGCAGCTGCCGAAACTCGCGACATTAGCTATCAGCAGGTCGGAACGACTCTGCTCTACCTCGCAATCTCGCCCGGATACAATGCAAAGAACTTTGTCGAGGCTTTACGCGAACATCGTGCTGGCCAACGACTGGACTGGCAGGATGTTGTCCACTCTTTCGACCGAGACGGCTTGCGCATCGAAAAGTCGCAATTCCTCGCCATCTACGAAGCTTTGCTGCCAATCGCGCAGACCACTGAAACATTCGATATTCAGGCTCTGTGGGGAGGGACATGGCAACATGCTCTTACGCATCTTTACTTCCTCCTGTGCTTCCTGTCATGCACCCCCCAGGAGCTTGATGTATCGCAGATACCACGACTTCGTGTATCCTTCTCCATGAAGACCTTTGAGAATGCATCGGATGACGTCAAAACGTTTGCTGAGCAGGCAGTCAAGCATCCATTTGTATCCCTCGACGCAACCAGTGCTCTCTTCAACATGATCTTCCAGACATCGGAGACATATCACTCTGCGCAAATGATGGGCATACCCGACATGGTGATTAATCCGCACACTGCGGAGTTCCTCGTAGCCGCAGCCGCCGTTCCGAAACCGTGGGGAGCGCTACAGGAGCAAGCCCTCAAACAACTGTTCGACCCATATTTCCACAAGAAGCTTCCCATCTACAACTTTGTCCTCTATGGCCTATGGCAGCAAGACCTACAGTGGCTCGTCGATCGATTTGTTGATGCGTACAATGCAGACTCGATGACGCTGACCCTGATCCTGGAGCACGCAGAAGCCAACGCCTGGCTGGAGCCTCTGATTCGCAGCAACACCGACATCAGCCTGGACCTGGCCGCGCAGGCACATGCGCGGGGTAAATTCGAAGTCGAACCTTGGTTACAACAGACGTTTGAGCAGGCTGGCCCGCTGTTCCGTCGCATCCTGACTAACTTTCTAAGTGCCCGAGCCGCCGAGGAAATGCAGCGCGTTAGGGATGATCATCAGCCTCTAAACCTACCGCTGGCAGTAAAGACAGTGTACCCGCTCCTTTGGTTTCTCGCAGAATGCGGGCTACCGGAACAAGAGTTGCTGCCCTTGCAACGAAACTGTATCCAGGCCTATCCACGACTGATCAATTACGGCGAAGGTGTAGATGATGTTATCGATGCCAACGGGCAGAACGGCAACGCACTCCCAGAGGAGGCCGATAAGAAGATGCAGGAGCATTTCAAAAACATGTACAGCGGCGAAAGTGATGTGCGAGACATCATTTCGGTCCTGAAAAAGTACAAAGAGTCACGAGACCCTGCCGAGCAAGAGCTCTTCGCATGCATGATTCATGGCTTGTTCGACGAGTACAATTGTTTTGGCGAATACCCTCTGGAAGCGTTGGCCACGACCGCTGTACTTTTTGGTGGAATCATCAACTTTAACTTGCTGTCTCGGATCGCGTTGCAGGTTGGACTCGCCATGGTCTTGGAAGCAGTTCAGGAGTACCGACCGGAAGATTCCATGTACAAGTTTGGACTGCAGGCGCTCATACACTTTTCAACCCGTCTTTCGGAATGGCCTAATTACTGTGACCAACTCCTAATCGTTCCCGGACTACAGGGCACCGAGATTTTCGCCAAAGCCGAGGAAGTAGTCGGTCAGCAAGTAGGAGAAGTCAGTGGCGATGCGCAAAATGGTGTGAGCCTCACGAACGGTAATGGCATCGAAGACGCCCTTCACCAGGAGCCTGCCATACCCAAATTCACCTGCCTGCATGTCGACCCACCACTCCGGCCCGAGCTTTACGAGGAGCCGGACGAAGATGTACAAGATAGAGTGCTGTTTGTGCTCAACAACGTGTCCGAACGCAACTTGCGCGACAAGATCAATGATCTTACGGAGGCGGTCGAGGAAAGACACCATCAATGGTTTGCCAACTACCTGGTGGAAGAGCGTGCAAAGATGCAACCCAACTTTCAACAGCTCTATCTCGACATGCTGGATTTATTCAACAACAAAACGCTTTGGGCTGAGGTGCTCCGTGAGACGTATGTTAGCGTAATACGCATGCTCAACACAGATGCGACGCTCGGCTCGACGGAGCGTGGACATTTGAAGAATCTGGGTTCCTGGCTAGGCTCTCTCACCATTGCGCGTGATCAGCCGATTAAGTTTCGCAATATTTCCTTCAAGGATCTCCTACATGAGGGTTACGATACTGACCGACTGCTACTCGTCATACCTTTCACCTGCAAGGTGCTAGTCCAGGCTGCCAAGTCCACCATTTTCCGGCCGCCCAATCCTTGGATCACCGAGCTGCTGGGGGTCCTGATGGAGCTGTATCACTTTGCCGACCTCAAACTCAACCAAAAATTCGAGATTGAGGTCCTCTGCAAAGGCCTCGATCTAGACCACAAGGATATCGAGCCTACTAACAGCATCCGAGCACGCCCTCAAGCCGACGAAGAGTTCCTGGGTCCAATGGTCACAGACGGAATGGAGGCGTTTGGTGATCTGTCCATCATGAGTCTTAATCGCACTCGAGGCCCCAGCGAACGCTTTTCGTCTGCGAACATTACAGCTCAACTGCCAGACTTTACGAACCAGCTACAGTACCCTCCCTCTGGAAACAGTGTAGTTGCGCCGGCCACTCTGAAGAAGATCTTCTTGACCGCTGTCAATCAAGCAATCCAAGAAATCATTGCGCCCGTGGTGGAACGATCTGTGACCATTGCCGCCATCTCGACTTCACAACTCATCAGCAAAGACTTTGCCATGGAGCCCGATGAGGAGAAGCTGCGTAATGCTGCCCATACCGTTGTACAGGCACTATCTGGTGCTTTGGCATTGGTCACTTGCAAGGAGCCATTACGCATGAGCATTCAGAATAATATCCGGGTGACGGCGAGAGATCTTCCAGAGCAAGCTCTACCCGAAGGACACATACTCATGTTCGTCAACGACAATCTTGACCTCGTCTGCAACACGGTGGAAAAGGCTGCCGAGTTGTCCTCTTTAGCTGAGATCGACATGCAGATTGAAGAAGCCATCCGTGTGCGTCGAATGTTCCGCAGCACTCGTCCAAACGAAGCGTTCAAAGACGCCAATATCAGTCCATGGGCCTTCTACATCCCTGAACCGTACAAGCAAGCAGCCGGAGGCCTGAACAGGGAGCAGTTGGCCATTTATGAGGATTTCGGCAGGCAGTCACGGGGCCTCCCGCATGGCAACAACACATCTCAAGATAGCGGGCGACAGGTACCAGACGTGCTTCAAGATCAATTTGCGGCGGTTCCGAATCTCCCCACACCAGGTGCCGCACCCGTAGAGCCGCGTCAACCGACACAACAACAAACTCGACTTCAGAACATGCCAGCACCCCATGCTCCTGCAGCGCAACAACCGCTAAACGGCTACATGGACGCTCCAGGCTTAGATCGGGGCCAGCGAGGGGCTGAAGAGCTTTTGATTGAGCTCACCCGTGTCATCAAAGAGGCTCCCGAGGAACGCATCAGCGACCTTCAGCCCGGAAACAGTAATATCCATCAGGTTTTTGATCAACTCATTTCGAGCATTGAATTCGCTGGACCGAACAAGGACACGTTGGCCTTTCGCATCGCTGGACAGATGACCACTCATCTCTTCTCTGAATCTTTGACCCGCTTGGAGATTGAAGTACTGGCACACTTACTGAGCCACTTGTGTCAATTATCCGTACAAACCTCGAGACAGGTTCTCATGTGGTTGGCAACACTCCATGACGACGATCGGATTTTCAAAGCTCCCGTCATGTTGGCACTCATGGACGTCAGCCTAATGGACATGCATCGACTTAATACCACCATTGCCAAGGGCATTCAAGAGCGGCGCGTCGCCGCCGTAGAGATGCTGTCAAATCTCATGGATGAGCTTCTGCTGAACGAGCACCCAAGTGCCTTCCGAGCTGACTTCGCTTTGTCCATTGACGCGCTCACCAACTGGCTGGCTGAAGACTCCTCGTTCGAGCTTGGAAAGCGTGTCATTGCTAGATTACAGCCACCTTCGGATGAGCTGGCTCTCACACCGCCTGCATCTGGCCACAAAGATCAGCTCGAATACGTCTTTGATGAGTGGGTCCATCTACAGCAGTCTGAGACGCCTAAGAAGACAGTTGGCGCGTTCATCTATCAGCTTCATAACCAGAAGGTGATGGAGACTCAAGAATCGTCCATTGAGTTCATTCGCACTTGCATTGATGCCTCTGTACTCGCCTACGAGCGCGAACACTCGCTTCCCTTTGGGACCGGAAACGAAGACATTGCTACGATCAAGGTGGATGCACTTGCGAAGCTAATTGTTGACCTAGTGGTCTACCAAGGCGGACAAGAGAATGCGAAGGAGACTAGGGCGAGATATCTAGACCAAATTCTGGTTGTTGTCGTTCTCGTCCTATGCAATCACCACAACACTCGTGGCGATGCGTTCAACCAGAAGGTGTTCTTCAAGCTGTTCTCGACAATCCTATTCCATCTCAATGATGCAGTCAAGGAAGAATGCTTAGCCGGTCAAAAGGCGGATTTGTTCCTCGCTGTTGCGAGAGCTCTCTTGATCTTGCAGCCGAGCCACTTCCAACGATTTACTTTCTCGTGGCTTGCTCTGATTGCGCACCGCATCTTCATTCCCGCAATGCTTGAGGAGGGGCAACAGGATGAGCGCTGGGACGTTTATGCTCGCTTGATGGACACGCTATTGGTCTTCACCGGTCAGCTCATCAAGCCAACAGGAGAGACTCTCATGGCCCAGCAATTTTACCGCGGTGTATTAAGAGTGCTGCTTGTGATCCACCACGACTTTCCGGAATTCTTGGTCGAGAACCACTTCCGCTTCTGCAACAGCATCCCTATGCATTGTACACAGCTCCGAAATCTAATTGTGAGCGCATATCCGTCAACGATACTAGAGATGCCCGACCCTTTTACCGCAGGTCTCAAAGTCGACCGTCTGGAGAACGACCTCCAGGCACCGGTCATCCGCGCCGACATTGGCCAGTTGCTCATCGACGCCGGAATCAAGAGTGCCATTGATAATCTGCTGAAGGGTACTGAGCTTAAGAATCAGGACGTTGACAAGGTCTGTAAAGCTGTATACTACCAAGATGAGAAGTCTCCGGCCTTTGAGCTGGTCCCAACGACGGCAAACCCAGTGTTGATTCATGCCATTACACTCTACATCGGCATTGCAACACTCGGTGAAGGCAACGTCAGCTCACCCATCTTCGACGCTGACAGTGCGGCCACCAAGGTCATTGAGAGACTAGCCAAGGACTTCCATCCGGAGGCACGCTTCCACTTCATCAGCGCAATTGCCAACCAGCTCCGCTTCCCCAACGCTCACACCCAGTTCTACAGCTACACGCTACTCCACCTTTTCGGGCCTCCCAACGATGACTCGCAGGCACTTGAGATCCAGGGAACCATTACGCGCGTACTGCTTGAGCGTTTGCTGGTCCACAGGCCGCACCCATGGGGCCTGATCATCACCCTTCTGGAGATTCTGAAGAACAGCAATTACGCATTCTGGGAGTTGCCGTTTGTCAAAGCGGCACCTGAGGTACGTCGACTTCTTACTCTGATATGTAACTTGTTTGCTGATTTTATGTCAAGGTCGAACGCCTCCTTAGCGCCCTGTTTGGCACGCAGCAGAGCCCGCGACCTATGGCTTAGTCGGTCACCACTTTCTGGGCGCGATGGATGTCGAGACATCTAGTTTATC